GAAGAGCAGCTTAAGAACCAGCCACTGTCTCTTCTTTCTGGCTGCCCCTCTGTGGGCACTGCCAGCCCCCTTGGCTTCTATGGATCTAGGCCCCGCTGCAGCTTCATCTGTGTTGCTCCTTGCTGACAGGGCATGCTCTGCCTCACTCTCCTGCCCCACTGTCTTTTTCCCTGCCAGCCTCTTCAGTCCACCAGGGTCCTACCCTCAGCCTCCATCTCATTTCACCAAATGCTTGCTCCCTGGGTGTCCCATACAAGCCCGCATATGATATGACTTATACCCATCAGAGACACCCTCAGAACACCTGCAAATCTTCATATTCACCCTTAACAATGACTACAGAAACAGAAACCAGATTCACAACAAATCCCCCAAACTCATTTCGCAAACAACCTTCTGCCAGAAGCCTATGAAAAAACAGATTTGGAATGGGACTCTGGTCTAGTCCCTTTCTGTGCCCATCCCAAATTAGAAGGAAGTAGGATGAGGGGGTGAGGGGAGAAAGAATACAAGACAGTGAACATAAAAAGCAAGGATCTAGCTGTACCCTTACCAAATGTGCATTTTTCTATGTGTACATTATACTTCAATAACAGCGTTTTTTTTGTTTTGTTTTGTTTTTTAAGAATACAAATAAAACAAAAGGCTGACAACTGAAAAATCCATGACCAAGATTAATAGCACTGGGTAACTGAAGCAGGAGAGGGATATAGAACTATTAGTTCACCTTCCTGTTTCTAATAATACGCAAGGGAAGACTGAGCAAGGAGAACCTTATGGACTAGGAGCAGGTAATTAGTGTGTCCATTTGTTACATTACACAATTATAGGTCTCCAAAACAACTTTGGAGAGAGTTGTAGACCTAGAGAGAAGAGCATGAAAAATCATCTAATCCACCTTTTCATTTTCTAGATGAGGAAACTGAGGCTGAGCAGGGGAAAAAGTCCTGTCCCTACCCAGCAATCATCTGCCACATATGCCTCCTCCACCTTCTTATTCACTGAGAGAATGACACGAAGCAAGATGAATAGGGCCACACCAGGGATAGGAGAGCTCAGATGGACTTTCTGATATTTCCCGGGCTGGAGAAAGCACACAGCAGCCTGACATGACCAGTTGTACAAAGCATATTGCCTCTCTTTGGTGCCATATCTTTTTCCCTTTGATGTGTGATCACTTCATTCCCTCCTTGATTGCTTTTCAAAAGCAATCTAAATTAATGTGAATCCACAAAGGGCAAGGCTCTCTGTGAATAATTAGTGCATGATAATAAATGGAAATAGGCAAAGATGCAAAGTTGGCCTAAGAACTAGTGATCCCTGCTCCCCTGCCCATTCTCGTCACATTAAGAATTCTCTTTACATTATTAAAGAAAGAATCCAAGGAAACTTGAGAAAGAGTGGTACTCCTAAACAGACCACTGGGATGGTTTAACCACTGATTCCTAAACAGACCATTGAAGGATGGCACAAAGAAAGAACAGAAGCTAAAAGAATCAGACCAGTGACAGCTACATGGTCTCTGTCCTTTTCTTGTAGGTTCCACTGAAGACAAAACACTTTTCTAGACTTCTGCCATTTAGAGGAGGACATATCATCACAGTCAAGAAGGAGCCACCATAATTTGATCCTGCCCACTCAGGATTTTCTCCTACAAACCTTTAGCTCAGTCAATCTTGTCTCCTTTCTGCTCCTTGGCTAAATTAAATTAAAAACAAATCCAAAGTGGGAGATAAGATGTTTTCAGACCTTCAGTAGGCCTCTTTTGAATATTATGCAGAGAGAACTGGACAAACTGAGGTTAAGGAAATGTTGCAACCAGTAAGGCAAGCCCCTGCTACTCTCATCAAAAGGTTTGTCTCTAGTCCCTCCCGGAAGTCTGTTTTTATCTACTGTCATTTTTCATGGGCAGAGAAGTATGGGAAGGGGATGAAGTATCTGTGGAGCCTGAAAATTGGGCTCTCCCCCATCCCTTTATTTAAGATCATAGACTATTAGTTCAATCCAAGACGTGTGCAGGGACATACATCCAAACTATATCATCTCCCATGCACCACACATTCCCTACATTTCCTGTAGTCCAGGGACAGAAAACAGATTTCAGCTCAAGTGTCTTCTAATCCATTTACAATGGCTGCCTGGAGGGCGATATTCAGAACCGTCTTGGGGTCCCATGCTTTGGACCCATAGGAAATGGGTGAAAATCCAGAAATTCCATGTCCTTCACGTCTCTGTCATTCCTGATTGAATCTGTGATTTTTATTGTGGCCTGATTAAGGCCTTTGAGGAAGAATTGACCCCAGTGTCACAGAGTAAATTGATAAAAGAACCCAGACTCGAGCCCAGCTCTCCCTGAATCTCCTATTTTCCTATAATCCAGAGTTTAAGACTGGAGATGGATCTAAGAGTACAGTCATAATACTATAACCATTTCTAAATGTTGACTATGTGTCAAGTACTGTCCTACGTGCTTTTCATGTATAATCTCATTTAACCCTGCCAGAACACTGAGAAATAATCATCCCCACTTAACAGATGAAATTGACACACAGGAGTGGTCAAGTAACCCGTCCAATATTCCAGGATGAGTAAGTGACAAAGTAGAGATTGACACACAGCAAGAAAAGGACAGAACTGGATCTAGAAACATCCTCATACAATCGGTGGAAGATTCTGGTAATTTCACCAACACATACAAAGTCAATTCGTGTTGGAAAAATACCTCATGAAGGCCCAGTGATCTTTTCAGCCCTGGTGATGTCAAAGGCTGCAGAATAAGGAGTGGAAAGTCCTAGTTACCGTGACAGGAAGCAGCAGTGAGTGACTTTGAAGGCAGGAGATGAGAACAGGCAATTCAGCAGGACTCAGATAGGACACTGAGCTCTTGGCATGAACATACAGGTTTCACCAAGGTCTCAAGTATGACAGGTTGGCCCCAAAAGGTCCCATTTTGCTCAAAAGATTTCTTAAAACTGAAAATGTCGTATAACGGAATATCACTGGCTGGCTCCAATCCCCAGGGCTTGCTGTTTCAGAAGAGAAAGAGGTGCCCATCGATGTATTTATAGGCTTAAAGCTGGCATGCACTGATGCTACCTGGGGTTACTTGACATCTGTCTTGGTGCACATTTCCTCCACCTTTTTGTTTCATTAGGTTTTAATCAGCCAGCTCTTTGGGGCCTGAATTAGGATTTCACACACATCCAGAGCCAAAAGACAAAACAAACAAGCAAACAAGCCCTGAGATTAAAACAGAACTTGGGACCAGCAGCTCGGGAAGGGTGGGCCCCTAGAAACTCCTGTGTGGGATCAAAGGAAAGTTAAGTGGTATGTCACATCCTAGGGCTGGGGACCCTTGGACAGGGGAGCCCCACTGTCTTGAGCTCAGCCAGTCACCCCTTTGTTCCATGACCTTGGCCTGGAAAGCTCTTCCCTCCCATCTCTGAGCAAAATCCTTAAGTTCCTTCAAGTCCTGACCCAAATGCCAACTTCTTTGGGAAGTCTTCCCTTACTCCATCCCTACCCCACCTCTTCTTCCTACAAAAGAGAAAAAGAAGTTTCTCCTCCTCCTCCTCCATACTCTGTTGTCAGCTCCCAGCCCATCCCACAAGTCTCTGGAAGCTGGGAGAACACAGGTGTGGAGTAGCCCTGATTCACAACCTTAGAGAGACTGGAAGAAGGGCAGCAGCCCTGTGGAGGCAAACCCAGGCCCAGGCACCATGGTCTCCCGGATTACGATGATTCACACATGGAAAGCATTGGAGAGAAAAAGCCGAAAAGGAATATGCTACCCAAATTTCTCTACCATGAACAAGTATTGCTTTTATCATGGAAAAACATAAACATTTTAATAAACTGCACATTTCTCATGCTAAAGCAGCTAATAGTGTTTCCTATTGCTTGGAAAATAGACACGAACCTGTCCACAGGATGATGAATCCATAATTGACAGGAAGCATTGACAGAGTAGCTCGGGTGCACAGGAGGGAGGAAACTCAGCCTACCTGAGGGCATCAGGGAAGGTTCCACACAGGGTGAGTGAGAGCTCTCCAGGTAAAAGGGAAGAGGAGGCAGAAGGGAATTCCAGGCAAAAGGAACAGTATGTACAAAGGCAAAGTCAGAAGAGTGCAAGCTAAATTATATGTCTGGAATGTGGGGTGCATGGGAGATGATATCATCTAGATGTGTGTTCCCGTCCAAATCTTACATTGAAATATAATCTGCAATGTTGGAGGTGGGGACTGGTAAGAGGTGATTGGATCATGGGGGTGGATTTCTCATGAATGGTTTAGAACCAACCCCCGTGGTACTGTCCTCACACTAGTGAGTTCTTGCGAGATCCGGTTATTTAAAAGTGTGTAGCATCTCCCCCCTAACTTTATCTCACTCCTGTTTTTGCCATGTGATATGCCTGTTCTGCCTTCAGCTTCCACCATAATTGTAATTCCATCATGATTCCACCTGAGGCCTCCCCAGAATATGTCGGCACCCTGCTTCCTGCAAAGCCTGCAGAACCATGAGCCAATTAAACATCTTTTCTTTATAAATCACCTAGTCTCAGGTATTCCTTTACAGCAATGCAAGAACGGCCTAATACTGAAGAGAATCATGGATGTGAGGTACGCAATAAAGGGTTAACTCCACTTTGATGTCCTCAAACTCTGCACCTTCCAAAGAAAGAACTGGCCCTTGTCCGGCCCCTGGGAGATAACATGCAATATCATGCCTGGTAGAATAGAGTATCTTATATCACTAGGGCTTTGGGCCACCCCACATAGTTTATGCTAACAGTGTCACTCATGATAAAGGCCTGTTTTTGTTTGCCTGGCATCCCAGGCCATACTCTATCAGTTTGATTCTAGGGGTCTAGGGGTTGCATAGAGACGGAGTAGCCAAGGTCAGTTACATGGGTGACTCATACCTCTGTGACTGACCCCTTTCTCCCAACAAAAACCCTGGACACCAAGGGGCAGTTGGGCTTCCCAGGTTGGCAATACTTCCTATGTGTTGTCACACACAATTGCTGGGGTAGTTCAGCACTGTCCAAGTGACCCCCTGGGAGAGGACAACTGGAAATGTATGCCTGGTGTTTTCCTGGACCCCGACCTACGCAGCCTTTTCCTTGGCTAATCCTAATCTGTCTCCTTTTGCTGAAATGAACCATAAGCATGAGTATAACAGCTTTTCTGATTTTTGTGAGTCCCTCAAGTGAATCATCAAACCTAAGGTAGTCTTGGGACCCCCATCAAAGAGAGTCAAACAGGAACAGGGCAAGAAGAGCTTTTCCTGGAAGGCTAATGAGTCTGAACTTCGCCCTGGAGGTAATCGTTAGAGTAACTCCAGGCTCTAACCTGGAGCTGGCATGACAAGGCCAAATGTACACTTCTAGAAGATACTTTGGACTGCACTGGGGAATGAATAGGGGAGCTGGGGGAGCAGAGCTGAAGCAGGGAGACCACGACCTATGAGGAGACAGCTGATCGAGTCCAGGTAAGAGCTGGGGCGTCCTTGGTAGTGGGCAGTGGCCACAGTAAAGGACTGAACTCAAGAGACTAAAAATAGATGCAACAAGACTTGCCAGCCAATTAGACTCTGAGGTGAGAGAGGCAAGTCAAGGACGACTCCTAGATTTCTGGCCTGAGCAACTGGAGGGATGATGGAGCCAGTCACTGAAGTGAGAAATCTTGAGTGAGGAAGCTGATGTTCGGGGGCTGGGGAGAGGTTCTGACGCCCAAGCCTAGCCTGGCTGTTTTCACTATGTTCGTTTCTACAATTCAGGAACCATCAGATTGCTCTTTTTTCTCTCCTTGAAGCCATCCCTTCAGCCCTCTGCCCGTAGTGATCACTAACTGATCACTCCTCCTTAAAAGCCACGGAAAGGTGTGCTTACCCGATCTCCTTGACCTCCATTTTTCTGCCGGCAGAATCACAAGAAAGGCATCAGCACCTTCTGTGAAATGGGAGCCAGGAGGAGGAGATGCCCAGGTGGGTGGCAGAGGCCTAAATAAACCACAGCTATGCAAGGAGTTTTCAAACACCAAGGGTAGGGAGGGTCTTGGGGCAGACCCTGGAAAGGTGGGACTAAGATCCCTGTGATGCTGGATGGGGGTTGGGAGGAGGGTTGAATGAAATCATAAGAAACAAAGGCTCTGCAAGCTACACAGAAAATCTCCCCTTGGCCCAGGGCTAAGCGGCACTTACACATTTTCAGGTGTCTAGGAGTCCATGTCAGCTGCTGTCCCTCCACACCACCGAGCAGACATCACAAAGAGTGGCTAGGCCTTCTGAGTGAAGGTGATCCAACCTGTCACTAAGCCTAAGGGCAAATCCTGGCTGTGCTGTGGTGACTCCAACAACCCCAAACAGCAGCTCAGAGGCTGCAGCCGCCCTCGGAGGCATCACTGGGAAATGCTCATTAAGTATTGCTCACCCGCCCCATCCCATCTCTGCGCATCCCAAACCATCAGCCAAGTGCACAGCTGGCTTCCATCCTCAGAGCCTTCCTCCTTCATTTGCCTATTCAACAGTTACAAAGGCCTGAGCTGCAGAGGGGCCTTGAAAAACCCATTCTACCCAGAAGAAAGAGAACTGAGAGTAAGCAAGACAGAGAACAGGTAGAAGCAGGGAGGAAAACAAGCCATCTCTAGATCTCAAATGGGGACCCTGCTGTAGCAAGAGACTCTTCTAAATCCTTTTCCAATAGGGTAATATGGAAAATGGTTGAAAGTACAAGCCAACTGGGGCTTGAATCCCAAATGGGCCATTTACAGCTGTGTGACTGAACAAGTAATTTCATATTTCTGAGCCTCAGTTTTCTCATCTATAAAATAGAAAAATACCTATGTCGTAAGGTTAAGATATGGATTAGATGAGCTAAGATCTAAAATGTCTTCTATTCAGTAAGTGCTCAATAAATGTTATCTCTTTTTACTATTGGGCCTCTAGGTCTGGAGATCAAGGAGGAAAGTTTCACGTGCTGGGTCTGCAGGTAATATAGTGAGACATGGTTTCTGTACTCACACTCCTAACTCAGGTGGGCTGAGAGGATCACATAGTCTGAGGTTGTGCAGGGCTGAAAGCCTCCTAAGAGGTCATCTGATCTCCTATTTTCATTGGTGAGAAAACAGAGATACAAAATGACCTTCTCCCAAAGTCACACAGCAAGATAGTGGCAAAGTCAACACTAGAACCAGGGCTCCAGACTTCAATTGTTCTTTCCTCTCCACAGAAACACATAAAAACAGAATGAAAGAATGCTACAAGTCAGGATATGAAGAAAATTTCAAATAACTTTCTAGAGAGAACACTGTGCCCTATCCAGATCCCTGTTCCCGGGCCATGTACCATCCCTTGACTGCTTTGAGTGGTAGCTGCCAGCGGCTCACAGCTGCCTCATCCTCTGGAGAACTGCCACCCCCACTGCCCCCACACCCAGTTGATGAGGGACATTACACCCAATGCTGTGTTGGCAAATGTTTAGCAGCCACTTTCTGGTGGGGTTGGGGGAGCCCTGGCTTGAGTATTTGCCACTTCCTCTGGTGTAAATATTCCCACAATGGCTGCCTCCAAACAAGACATCACCAAAGGTGGGGTTGCAAAGAGATGCACATAGCTCTCTAACACATAGTATTTCCACCATAAAGATCCAATACAAAAATAACCATAAAATAACTAGAAAGTGATGACTTCTGAATATGTATTTCCATTGTTTTAACATTATTTTCTTAAATATGATTTTATATGATTTAATTGTTAATAGTGGCTCACAAAATTCCTCAAAACTTGACCATCGTAAGCTCTTAAGGGCCAGGTCCAGCACACCACTGGTTTACCCCCAACCCCATCCCTGCCAGCCTGAGGCCAGTGACTGATGACATGGGGGTGCAAAACCCCAGCTATTCATCCCATCTAGGGGTAAGGAACAACTTGTGGTGTGATTAATCCCAGAACTCCCATGGATCAGGCCCAGAGCAGACTTACCTGAGGCCACTTCCTCCCTCAGCTCCTTCTCTTCCCCTATCCTTCTGTTCCCACCTCCTTACAGATATTTCCAGAAGTGCACACCAATAAACAGCATGCACCCAAGGCCCCATCTCAAGCTTTACTTTTGTTTTTGTTTTTGTTTTTGTTTTTGTTTTGAGATGGAGTTTCACTCTTGTTGCCCAGGCTGGAAGGCAAGAGTGGGATCTCAGCTCATTGCAACCTCCACCTCCTGGGTTCAAGCGATTCTCCTGCCTCAACCTCATAAGTAGGTGGGATTACAGGCACTGGTACCACATCCAGCTAATTTTTCATATTTTTAGTAGCGATGGGGTTTCACAATGCTGGTCAGGTTGGTCTCAAACTCCTGACCTCAGATAATCCACCCCCGTTGGCCACCCAAAATGCTGGGATTATAGGCATGAATTACCATGCCTGGCCTCAGGCTCTACTTCTAAAAAACTCAACCTAAGCCACACATGGTGGCTCACACCTGTAATCCCAGCACTTTGGGAGGCCAAGGTGGAAGATCACTTGAGCTCAGGAGTTCAAGACCAGCCTGGGCAATACAGCAAGACCCATCTCTACAAAAAGTAAGAAATTATCCAGGAGTGCTGGTGTGTACCTGTAGTCCCCGCTACTTGCAAGGCTGAGACAAGATGATCACTTGAGCCCAAGAGTTTGAGGCTGCAGTGAGCCATGATCACAACACTGCATTCCAACCTGGATGATAGAGCAAGACCGTGTCTCCAAAAAACAAAAGGCAACAAAAAAGAAAAGAACCCAACCTAAAATATTGTACAGAGTAAAAATTTAGGGAGAAAGTAGAAAAGATCACTGTGGCTTTGGAGGGATCCAAGGAAGCTTTCTGCAGTAGTTGGGATCAAAAGAGTGGGTAGGATTTTGATTTGGAAATGAAAACCAGGAACTTTCCAGATGGAAAGAGCAGTTTAATCCAGGTGAAACCAACAACCATGCATTTGACAGGTCTGTCTGCCAGGAGGGATGGGGTTTTCCTAGAGACAAGCCATGAGCCCTGGGGACCACCCATTAAGGACTGCCAAAGTTGGAGGAGGGGGCGTTTCCAGTGGCTACAGTGTGATTAAGAAAGATGTGTGGCTCTCTGGCAAGGGCAGCATGGTGTCCTAGTTTCCACTAGAAACATCATCTGTACCAAAACCTTTGGAGCCAGAAGGTCATCTTCGGATCACCTACTGCCACTGATGGATGAAAGCTTTGAGTTGTAAAGATGGAAATTTAGTATATTTATTTTAATAGTTGTGTTTTATGTTTTCTTTGCCCTTGTTTTTGTTTTTCTTTGTTTTTAATATTTTAATTGTGGCAAAATATGCATAACAAAAACATACCCTCTGAACCATCCTTTCTTTTGTCTTAGAGTTACCTCCGGTATATAGCATCGATGCTGACTTTTTATTTGCAGAAGTATGTAACATTTCCCTCCAAAACAGTTTGTACAGAATAGATGAATCAGTTTAAAGAAAAATATGCAGAAGACAATAAAGGTGACATAAATATGGAAAATTACAAAGATAAGACACAAAACCCTAAATTTTGCAAACTACTTCAATACTCTTATTTTAAGACAGCAAAATTGCACTCAGATAGAGGAAGGGAACAGCCAAAGGTCAGGCAGTCAGTTAGATGCAGAAAGAGGATTAAAACTCAGGTCTTCTAATTTCCATTTCTACATTTTTCACTCCATTTTAAAGAAGGAAGAAAAACAACGTTTTCTTTTCTAAAACACACCTCTCCAAAGTTTTTGTCCTTCCCATTCAAAGATATACAACAGAGAACATACCAGGTTCTTTTTCACTCATGACAAGAAAAGCCACTTTCCTTTTTAAGTCAGCCTCAGTGATGGTTTTCAGGATAGAAAAGGGATTCATATAGATGACAGGGTGTACTGGCCTAAAGAGGACACAAATCCTCTAGAAATCTGTCACCTTGAATTCATCATTCTGCTGTCATCAGATGTCAATGCTAGAAAGGAAAGTTGGCATTTTGATGCCAGCCTCTGCCTCTAGCTGTTCCATGGGACATGCCTGTCAAAGAGGTGGCCTGTTTTCCAAACTAAAATCTACAACCAAAGTTGGTTTAAAAATCATCTTGCTGAGAACTGTGAATTGCGAAATTGGCTCTGCCACAAAATGGCTATGGACTCCAGCCTCCTTTCTTAATCGCCCCAGGTCTCAGTTTACCCACTTTCAAAAAGAGATAATAGTTCTTGTTTATTTCAATATCAGTTCAATAATCACTAAATGTTTTGCTTGACAACTTCACAGTTTGCAAAATGTTTCTTCCCATTTTGCAGTGTCTCATTTAAACCACACAACTGTGTGAGGTGGGTATTATTATTTAACAGACTGGGTGACAGACTCCAAAAGACCATGTAACTTGCCCATAGTTCTAAGTGGCTCTGAAACCCAGATCCTGTGATCCCAGATTATGCAACTTAGCAGTTTAGAGGTATATCACTGGCATTTCCCAACGTTTATGCTTCAGAATCCCTGTTCTCTAACTACATTGTTATTAGTTATTATTTTCTTAAAAAAGTGTCATAATCAAATAAAATTGTGGTAAAAGTTTAAAGGACTTCCTTCAAAGCCCTGGGACTTTACTATTAATTGTACATCTCCAAGAGGGAATAGAGCATGCAGTCTTTCCAAAACTTATTTGTGAAATTACCCAATTTAGGTAGAATCTCTTTCTTTAAAATAATATTCCAGAGAATGTTTGGGAAATACAAAAACTATCCTATTGTAGTTACTCTTCATTTCATTATTACTTTCAGGTAGGTTGTCTGTTGCTTTATAGAAACTGGTAAACTGTCCAAACAGGACACAGGCCTTTCTATAGAGACTGTCTTTCAAGCCTGTAACAATTAGAGAGGTCACAGCCTATTTGCTCCATGGGACAAGATGTTGGATGATAAGGTTTCCGTCATTACGTCTGATTTATGTTCAGATGTTTCAAAAAATGTAGAACATTCTTTATATGTCTACATAGCCTTAACTACATGTCTCAGGCAACTAGTATTTATTTAATATTTCTCTTGCCTTTTATCTGTGTTCTATCATTTCTCTACATAGGCCCACTGAGTCAAGGAAGATACCCTCTTCTTCAGAGGCTGCTCAATTCCCACACCCAGTGATAAGGAAGACTGGGAAAATAAGTGAGGAATAACTCCCTCTCCTTATACCAAGGGGCCCTAAAGAAACCACGGGACCAGCTTCCCGGGCTTACAGTCTACCCAGCACTCAGTTGCCGGTGCTTGGTTCGGTGCTCTAGTAGCACTGTCTTGAAACTCTTCATTTTTGAAAAGCAGTTTTACTTTTTCATTTTGTACAGGGCCCTGCAAATTACGTATCCAGTCCTGAGTAACTGCTATTTAACTGTAAGCTCCATGAAGGCAAAGACCATGTCTGTCTACTCCCAGCACCTGGCTTTGTGCCTAGCACAAGAAAGGTACACACTAGGTATGCACGAGATGAATCAGTCAATAGGTGCAAGGAAGAGGCTGCAGGACCCAGAGGCCTCTCCTTTCTCTCCCCAGCAAACGGCGAAGCTATGACTGCCCTTTCTTCTAAAGGGCATTCACATGTAAAACAGGCTCAGCCACCAAACAAGAATTGAAAACTCATACACAAACTGGAGGAATAGGCCAGTACGGAAAATTAAAACCCCAGCCTGCAGGAAGGCAAGCAAGCGAAAGAGGGGTAGCAAGCAGACACACTGTCCTCTCACTCCAGATAATGGGCCATTTTCCGACACTTCTCGCAACAACAGTAAATTTCAGAACAGAACCCTAACCTGAATGTGGTGCATTTTCCTTCCTGTCCCCATCCAATATCTGCCCCCCTTCCCATCCTTTCTAAGCCAGCTATCTCCAATCCCCAGCACCTCTCAGCTGCTAAAAGCCTGAAAGGTTT